TGTCTCCCTCATTTTAAAAAAAATGTATTTTTAGATAAGTGATTTTAAAAATACTGGGTTGCTATTCTTCCTATCAATTTTTTCTATTTGGAAACTAAAAGTTAAAATTTTTCTGTTTGGCAAACTGATACTATGTTTAAAAGCAAATCTAAAAGAAACCAGTAATTCTGTTTAGATGTGGAATGAAATTAGCAATTCTTTGAAAGTAAAACGCTAAGTAGAACTGTATTAAATTGTAATTCAATACATAAACCAGCATAACAAAATTTTTATTTATATAAATGAAAATATACAAAACCCAGTTTAAAAGCAATTTAAGCCCACATTTGCTTGTCTTTTCCAATTCATTTTGCTTTTTTGCATGTACTATCTAATTATAGATCTTTTTGAATGCTTATGACTATTCCCTAATTGTTTGTTTGGAAGCTGGCCAGTACAGGGATCGAACTCTAGACCCTGGTATTATCAGCACCACACTCTAACCAACCGAACTAACTGGCCAGCCATACTACTCACTGATTGTTTTTAATATACTATGTCATACCATAATGGATCTGTATATAAAATGTATATATGCACCAGCCAGCCACACACACACAAAAGTATATAATATTAAAATGTCTTATATGTACATTTATATACATGCATTTATATAATCAAAGATTTGTGCCTGTATCCATTCCTTTCCTAGGTAGACTATAAATTCCTTGTGGAGAGGAACCAGGTTTTATAATTAATGACACTGCTGTGCTTAATGTCATGTAAGACATGAAGTTGGTAACAAAAGAAAGATTTCTTGAATTCCTTTATTCATATAAGAACAAATAGGAATGGTGTTATATATCAACCCTATCCCCCTGAAAGAGAAAGTGATCATCTTTCTGAAGATGTCTCTGGTAAGAAACAGTAAGGTATCTCCTTGGTGAATAAGAAAAAGACAGTGTTTCTAAGCCACATGTATCTCTTTGTAATCAAGGGTTTAACAATGAGCATGTGAGAAGTAAGAGCTCTCAGAAAGAGCTTTTATCAATTTAACCACTATCTGTTCATTTTTATTCAAGGTTATCACAAATCACATGAATAACAAGATCAGAAAGGGAGTGATCTACCTAAACATTTCCCAATTACTCCACCTAATCTTTAGGCAGCACAACACAGAACAATGGCCTGAATTTTTTAAAAGCTAGTGACTGTGGACTTAAATATAGAATGCTATAAGTTCCACAAATATAAGACAATTTTGGAATAGTCTAAAAAACTGGACTCAATAAAAACACATGCCCTGGTATACAGAGTTGCCACATGCAAACCGAAATAAATCTTGTATCTGCTATACCTAGATAGAAGGAAATTTTTAAAGCTCAGTATTAAAATTTAATTGGTAACTCTGACCTTGAGTGCCACTTTAGGTGAAAAATATTACACCAGTGCTCAGATTTTCTTGAGATTTATGATCTCATGTTCTTGAAAAAGGCCTAGCACCTCCGTGTTCCTGAAATAATTGATCTGTCTGCTACAAGTGTTATTTTCCTGATAACAACATCTGTCTCAGGAAGCAAAGTACAAACTGATGAAAATACCCTGCTATATTTAAGAAATCCAAAAGAGCTACCAGAATTAGCATCTAACACATAAATATATTTATAAAAGCAGTCAAGATTATAAGTTGATAAATTCCTTAGCACACAACAGAAGACCAAAAAAAAAAAAAAAAAAAAACTAAATAGGAAAGCCATTTGCAAGTATTGTCTATAAAGATTAACCACAATTATTAATAATGAGTGAATGTTCTAAATGTGCTAATAAGCCACAATGCAAACCTACAGCTCACATCTTTCTTAGGTTTGAATACAAGGGTACTTCAAAAAGTTTATAAACTATGGAAAGATTCATATTATGTTTTACTTCTATTTTTTCCACAAACTTTTTGAAATACCCTTATAGAACTCCATAATATACATTTTCAACTGTGGAGGTTTTTCTTTCTTTGTTTCTTTATTGCAATCACAAACTAATAATTTCACCAAAAATCTCTCAACCAGCATTGTTGTGTCTATTGGTAAAAACAACCAAAAAATCATAAAAGACATTAGGTAAGAAAGGAATAATGGCAAATCTGAAAATGACTGATTATGTAACCTCTTGCTTCGATGGAAATTCAACATAAAATTCAGGGTCTGTTTGCAAAGAAATTACTGGCAAATATTATTGATTCTCCTTCACATGACAAAATGTCCATTATTAAATAACATAATCTAACAGAAACCAATTAGTACAATAATTGCTTCCATTAAGCATTTACTACATACTGGGTACTTTTAAAAGTACTTTACATGTATTAACTCATCTAATGCCCACAGCAACTCTGTAAACTAGGTACTATTATTTGTCTCCTTTTACAAATGAAGAAACTACAGCACAGAGAGAGGAAGCAAATTGCTGAAGGTTGACCAGCAAGTAAACAGCTAAGTCTGTACCAAACCCAGGCAATGTGGCTCAGAGGCATGCTTCCCACAACTAGACTTTGCCTTGTTTCATTAGAACACCAGAAAGAGGAATTTAAAGAGCAAGAGAGTCCATACATACAGAAAAAGTATATAGCCATTAATTCTCATTAAAAAAATACTTATTATGCTCCTACTACCCACAGAACTATGCATCAAGTTCCTTCCCAACACAAAAGGTCTATGGAGAAGATATATAATTTACCTTTGTACATGGCTCTGAAATTTGGACCTGATGTAGTGGTTACACCTGGCCTCCCAAACTGTTTAATCAGTTTTTTTTCTATAAACCACCTTGTGTGAGGCCCTGGAAAGCAGTCATTAGTGGCACTTGGAGATGTCAACTAAATTAGCTAGAAGAGAAAAAAATCAAAGGA